CGAGATTTTTCAAAGAAAGAATATAATAAGGAAATTATTCTTCGATCAAAGTAAATCAGGAAGCAGTGCCGAATTAAAATTAGAATTTGTTCAAGTTCGTGCTAGATTGTACGTATATGTATATATATTATACTTACTTTAAAATATTTATCGAATGATAAACGGTCTTTCCGTTCGTGAAAGCAGCCAAGAGAGAACCAATCGACATTCTCGACAACGATCGGACCCGAAAGAATCAGGTTGTAAGCCGTGCGAGTTTGCCACTGTTGAGAGTTGAGTTCGTGCAACGAATACCGGGTCCTGATCTAGTGGTCTCAAGCCTTAAAGTGGGTCGCTTTGTGGTTCGCGTTGACACGAAAGGGGTTCTTAAGGGATATCTCATTGGTTTCCAATACAAACACCTACGCGATTTATCTAAAACGTCTCAACATTTTTCCTTTTCTTTGCATACTCGGAAAATCCACCGTTAAATGACTTGAAATTAAAGCTACTTTCTTTTTTTACTAAATACTTTTATATTTTTTAATGTTTATAGGTATTATTCATTATTTATATTTATTATTTTCAAATTTTCTAGTGTATTATAACTACTTTCTGCAACCTGTCCTTGACAATGGAGATACACACACACACATATATTACTATTTAAAAATGAATGAAAAAACTATATTAACAAATAATTTAATAAAAAGTAGAGAAACTGCAGTTCCTGTACGATTTGAATAAACATTTATCAAAGTACATATGTTCGTGATATAGGTCAAACGATCGGTCGATCTATCGATTCTTCCTGGTAAAACCAATTATTATCTCTAACATAAGCTGTTTAAAAGGGAAAGTGTTCGATATTCTTGCGTGTTAGTGACACATCACTATTACTACTACTATTACATTTTCACATCTTTTGACACTTTCTACTTTCATTTAGAAGGATCTTGACGAGTCGTAGAAAGCATCAATCATTAAAACCATTTATTTATTTCAACTTTCGAACTTTACGATTAATACAACACGTATTTCATATTTTGTTAAAACGAGAAAGTTATTTTATCAAAAAAAAAACCCTAAAAGTGAAAGTAATTTGAACGTTTAATTTCACTTCATAGTATTCCTCGATCGTTCGATTTATTTCGTCGATATTCGCATGGTAAAAAAAAATTCTTGTTAATTCGGTTCAATCATTGTATTAAATTTTTCTTTGACAAATTTCTCGATAGTTTGAAACGTGCAGGATTTGAAGCATGACGTCAAAATCGAAATAACGTGACTACTGACAATTTGAATCTAAGAATTATCTAACTGTTTCAAAGTGTGTTGTTAGATATTGTTACATAGCACTACGCTGCGAGGGAATTCACAAACCGGTATATTTCACGCGTGCCAATGACGTTTCTAACGGGAAGCCGATAAATTTTGCCTTCTCTACGATTCATTATACAACATTTGAATACGCATATTAAGAACATGGACCAAAGGTTTCTAGATGATTTGAAAAATTAATTATTCTTGAATAAAATGTTTTATGTGTTAAATTTTTATATCAAATTATTAAACTATAAGCTTAAGAATATTTTATTAACCCTTTAGAATATTATTATATTATATTTTTATTATCGCGTTATTACATTATAAATAAGTATAACTATTTTAATTATTATTTAAAAAAAAATACAAATATAAATATGATGTAAAATTAGATGATAGAAAGGTGTATGTTGTAGAATTCTTTTCAAGGATAACATATTCAACGTTAGAAAGAGAAGAGAATAGAAGATTTACAATCCAGAAGAGAACTTTGTGTCGAAGAACGGAAGCTGAACAAGAGATCGGCAAACGGATCGGGGCACGAAAGTGGAACGATAAATCTATGCGCCGATAACTCGACGTTTACCTTCGGGATTCTTCAAACCCTTTAACGATCCCTCGTGAAATTTATATCGCTAGAGAATCGACCGTGTCCTTTTTGTGTATTTCCCTTTATCTGGAAGAACCTGCCGGAAATAGGAACGAGCGCGGATGAATATAAATCGACTTCCTTGCTCTAGATAATATTATTTTACTATGTTCCAACGTTTAGATATGATTAGAAAAGTATTATAACAATTTTGAATGTACATTCATAAAAAAGAAATATTTGATTTTAACAAGGAATATTGTACAAAATTATTGTACCCATTATTTTGATTTTTACGTTTACCCCAATTGTCAGTAAAATAATTATTTTTTTACGATAATTTATTAATTAATAAATTAACCCATCGCGTATTTGTTTTTCTTCCACGATTACGATAAACAATATAAATGAGATAAATTTTCTTATACAAATTGTTATGAAAAAAAATTAATTTGATCGTCATTATTATTTTTTAATATCATCTTATTAAATTTAATCTCGATTAATAATAATATTCGCAAGAGCGAATTTAAACGAAGTATTATTAACGAGTTCCCTCGAATCGGTCACGCTTCACGTATCTCGAAAAATTTCACGGTCATAAGAAATCGAACGTATGTATGTACATACGTGCATAATCAAGTAATATAAAATTCATTTTGAAAATAATATCTTTTTCAAAGATCGATAAACAGGATAATTAAATTCTTTCGAGAGAGAAATGTTATTAGAATTAATTATAGTTATTTCACATGTTAATTCAAGACACACACACACACACACACAGATGTGCCCACATATATAAAAATGTATAAAATTAAACAGATTGGAATAAACAATATATTATAATAATAATTTCAAATATTAATACACCACATACTCGAATCCATAATCTCACACACATACACACAAAACCACACGCGCGTGTTCGTCGCGTGGATACAAATATTAAAACAGGATAATAAATAAATAATTACATTAATATATTATAGAAAAGACCATGAACTTTTCTTCCTGACTACAATCGTTATCCTTGATCGTGGATCGACCTGCATCCTTCTTTCCAGACGAACCCACACACATCGAATCGATAAAAAGTGAAAAGCGTACGTTCGTTCATTCGCGTTTGTACGTGGGCCGTGGCACGAAGTATGTTGCTGGCACACATATTTGCATCGGAGAAAGTCAGCCGTCTCTTTGCCATCCTCTCTTCTTACCACACCCCCCTTCTTGTCCCTTTCCATGTCTTCTTCAGCCACCACTGCAATACTACCTCATCCTCATCAGACAACTCTTTCTCCGTACAAGAGAAAATATTTAATACATATATAATTTTTGTATGTATGTACGTACCTATATGTGTATCCATATGTATATTCGCATTCGTATAAGTATAATCGATGTATTAACACCTTGCATAACTTGCTACTGTATTAATCATACCATTATATGTTACTTATCGTGGAAAAGGGGTTATTGAATCAGCATTTTTCACATAATTGAGCTTATCTCTCTCTCTCTCTCTCTTTGTTTCTTTTTCTTTTTTTTTTCTATGTATATATATATATTTATATATGTGTCTTTTGATTCACACGTTTTAACAACGTTAGGTGTGGGAACAAAAAAGGTGCGATCTTTCTAACATCTTTCTAACGAGCGTGCTTCCTTAACAACCTCGATCTTTAAGAATCAACTATTTTTACACGCAATTTCACACGGAGGACATACTTCTGAGATAAATTCATACACAACAAGTAAGGGAATTCAATCAGTCAAGATAACGAAGACTAATGTTGAATATTTAGACACATCCTACATATTTGTTGATGAGATATACTAAATATTATCTTCATCATCTTCTTCTTGCTTCCTTTTCATCTTCATTTTTTTGTTTGATTTTCTGCGAAACATGTTGACCGAGCATTTGTAATGTAGGCCGAACAAGCGGTAATATGCTTTTGAAGTAGTATAGTTCGGTATACGAGAAATATGTTGAAGAGACGAACAACGTATTAGCTCAGAAAGAGAGAAAGAGAGAAAGATGGCATGATCACCGGCTGTTACTTCCAACGGTACCAATAAGGAGAACGGGACAGTTATTTGTTTGACCGATGCGTTGCATGAATATTTCTTGTTCAATACTTCCATACAATGAGAATGATTAATCAATTTGTTTATACATTAAAACAAATGTTCGACAAATAATTTAAAATATACAGGCAAATTTACAACAATAAATGTATTAATCAATTAATCACATTAATTAATCTGTCAACTGTTTATATTTTGCACATTTGAATTATTTGTAGAAAATAATTTGTGTGCGTGTAATGACGCTTATATGCGTCATGCTCTGCGAAGTAAAATAAATCTATATATAAATAAATTGTTTAATAATTAAATATCGAATTTCTTTCCTTTTCTCTTTTTGAATATAATTTTATGAAAATATTATTATAGTATTTCACGAACGTTATTATAATTATTTAATCTCGTTGATTCTGAAAATAAATAATTGTGTTAAAATAACGAATGAATGAAATATTTCAAAATTATTGGAAATTGGGTTTAATCCATTTAACCGTTCTTTTTATCCATATTTTATAATATCGAGAGCAAGTGCAATGGCAGGTACGTAATTAGAAAAAAAAGTAGAAAGAAATAGAAGAAAACAAGAAAAAAATGCGGACACGGTTCAGCAAATACGGCGGAACTGTCGTTCGGTTGATTCACGCAAAATATCCATTCACTATCGTTTCACTTTTATGAGAATTTATCGACGTTGATGCTGGAACAATTCTACTCTCTTAAGTAATATATAAATAATAAGAATAATAATATAAAATTAAAATTAAAAAATTATACCAGAGAGAGAGAGAGAGAGAGAGAGAGAGAGAGAGGAACCAAACCGAATAAAATCTTAACGTAATTAAAACAAAATGAAACTAAAAAAATATATCGGTTAATTGCATTTAAATATTTATTGAAACTTACGAATAAAATTAAATTAATATATAAGATTCGATGTATTCGTGATAACATAATAATGAAAGAGGAATATGCGAATAATTGAATTTTAATAAAATAATGATAATTATTTTGACAGAAATGCGTTGGTTTCGTGGCCACGCGGAGGCACCGAGACTTTTGAGCCTGAGTCCTCTCCAAGCCGACGAAGACCTTGAAGGAGCATCCTACCACTTTCATGTTACGTCTCAGTACAGAGGTAAGTAACCGGAGAAATTGATGATTAATATGATCGAAGAAGAGTAGAAATGCAACGTGTAAGATAAGGATCACGAATTAAAAACTACTATTCAAATTGAAATCGAAATTGAACTTGAAATCGAAATCGAAATTGAAATTGATATTGAAATTATGAAAGACTTATCACTTATCAATTATAATAATTTCTAATGTATTGTATTCGTTGAATTATATGTTGTTGTTGACGCTTCGAAAATTAAACGAGAACTAAAAAACCTAAGCTAGCTTTTATTAGTTTGATCTTGCAAAAGGTCTTCCTTACAAATATTGTTTACATGTATTATCGGCATTGAAATATCTATACCAGTTGTGTTTACTTTCTTTCTTTCACTTCGTTACCTTTTTTTCTTTTAATTTTGGTTTGTTTTTGATTGTTTTTTTTTTCCTTTTATTATTTTCTCTGTCTCTTCCGTTTTTCTTGAATTCCTATTTGTTTACATCATTATTCGAGATAAATTTAATATTCAACGTTACACATAATATCTACCAAACATTCTTTCTTTTTTTTTTCATGTGTTAAAATTTAATTTATTTTTAAATTTCTTTATTCTTATACTTTAGTGATTCTCTTAAATCATTATAAATTTAATTATTTGTAATTGTAATATATCAATTTGTTTATTAATTATTTGCGAATCAAGAAAATAATTTATTGTAATATTTAATTACTTCAAATCTGTGTTATTATATTTATTATTGCCACTTTCCTCCTATTTATTATATTTAAAAAAGATTTTTTGGATCAGATCTTCCTGTAATTCGAATTAGTTGAAAATCAAGTTCAAGAATATTCCAAGTTAAGTCGAGTGAAATGGAAATACTTTAAAATAGTCTCTTTCTTTTCCGGAAATAATACTGGCGTGTAAAGTGTAGTCCATGCAAGGAAGATACTCGCTAGCCGGAAAATCGTAGCCCAGAAATCCTGCTCTAAGAGACTAGCAAGTATATGCATGAGCACGTGCAATATTATCATTTCAACTAATCGTTTTCATCCTGTAGTATCATCGCGCGTGTGTAACCGTAATATAACTTACCATAGTCTATGCAAATCTAATGGAAAATTTTAATATCAAGATCATGTTCTTCTTTCTTCGTCTTTTATATACTACATCATCATCATAATCATCGTTAAACATAAGGGATCATTGATTATACATATTAATTTTCATATAATAAATATAATAAACGTATTGAGAAATAAATCCAGATAATTGAACATAGAAACAAAATATTATAATAATTTAAAATTAAAGAATAAATAATTTGTTAGAGAATGCACAAGATATGTGAAAATAATGAAAATTAACGTTTTATAGATTATTTTCTATAGGAAGAAAATAAAAAATAAATGATATCGAAATAAAATTGTTCAAAAATTAAAAAAAAATTGTTTCTGATTGTTAACGCGATATATAAAACGGGTATAATTTTAACGATCGATTTATTATTGATTCGAGAAAGCACACGTGCGTTACAGGTCAGTTTTAAGATTAGAACCGAAGAGAGAAAGAGAGTAAACGACAAAAGCCGACTTCAAAGTCGAAAGAAGAGAAACGAAATAGCACCCTCGTCGACTACTTGCGTAATACCGTCTCGAGCATGGCTATGAATGCAACAGAGGGAATAATGCGAAAAGAATGGTACCAAAGGATGAGACTTTGCGGGTTCGTTGCAGCTGCAAGTGCAGCACCAGTTTCCATATTGCTACGACAGAGTTATAAAGATACGGGTGAATGTAGTAAAAGAGCTTCTTCCTATTGTAAATAATACGACCCAGTCTTGTGTATTACTCTTTGTTATATCGACTATAGGCAGAACTAAAAGTTCTTGACTTATTTTTACATATTAATTTCATTCTATAAACTTTATTTAATTTTATTATATTTTCTATGGAGTATAATTGTAATTAAATTTTGGCATTGAAAACTATTGAAAAAGTGTTTTTTGGTTCTACTTTGTATCTTAAATAATTTTGAAAAAAAGGTGTGTCATTTTACTTTAAAATAATAATAATTATTGTGAAAATTGAAATAACTCGTTAATGAGATATAAAAAAAAAGAAATTATTTAAATTTAGAAATATTAATGATCATTGTTATGATTAGGATTAAAAATATATACGAATTATAAATTAAGAATTTATTTCGATTGAATGAATGTTCTTCAACTGAAATTAAATTTAAAAAAAGGCACCTACGACGAAAAACCGCACGAATACGTTAGTCAACTGTTTCTCGTGAACTTTACCCATCATTGTGACGGTTTTTATTTCTTTTCTTTTCCTATTATGATAAAGACAACGACACAAAAACGTTAAGGCAACATTTATTTCCGTTCTATCAGCTTGCTTTGCTTGCATTTTTAAATTCCCCTTTTTTTGTCATCTATCAGAGTTAACGAAGCTATTGTTAGTACATTATTAAGATCATCAAGATAATACGAACGATCAAAAGATAATTTGTCAATCATTTTTGTAATCATTTATTTTAATGAAATAAAATAAAACATTGAAAATAATATAAATAATAATAATAATAATAATAAAGAAATTGTTGAAATCCTTTCAAAAGATATAAATTATTCTGACAATAAATGAAAATATAATTTCTAAATATATTTTTAGTGGTTCTTATCTTTCTCCGAGAATAATTTTAAATTAAGATATACATCCTCGAAAAATCGTCTTTATTATTATTTCGTTAACGTAGTTGAAAGAGAGTTACTCATACTGGATGTCCTGTTTCCTGCTCGTGTGATCCTGCACGTTCCCCACTTACTTTAAGTTCGAGTAATGTATAAGAAAAAGAGTCAGTTTCGCGGTGACTCTCGTTCAAAGTGGAAGTTATTTTTTAATTGTAGTATAAATTTTAATCGTCACAATGATAAACGTTTGGTTCGATGGTGGCACGAAAATGGACAAAAATTGTTCCAGAAGTTCCTTCAATTTCTACGTTTGGATAAAATGTAATTTGTCACGTTATTTAATTTATTTTATTATAAAAAGATAGATAGATAGAGAGAGAGAGAGAGAGAGAGAGAGAGAGAGAGAAAAAATACTATGCAATAAATTCCTTTCGTCGTTCACGTTCTAATGAACGTAATTTTTCATGTTTTAAATATCGTTCGATTAATTTTCATATTCAATTAGAAAATTCGTTAAGCCACACTTGCGGTGAATAATAAATAAAATAATTCTATTCGATATAAAAATGGATCTTTGTGTGCAAATTGTATTCGTGTTTCTTCCTCCAATTTTATAATAATTTTTATTTTTATTATTATTATTATTAAGTATCACGTATATAATAAGGAACTACCTCTCCTATACGAATTGCCTCCTGTAAAGAGAATTGCCTCATTAATAAACCGCAAACGTGGACTTGCTAGACAAAATTGATGGCCTCAAGTTAACTACGTCGTTTAATGGTCTCTAGAATCTCATTTTATTGGCACTTTACGACTACTTAAAAGAATTTTGTTGAAAATCTTCAAGATGATAAATATTCGTAAAACACTGTTATAGTAGAAAATAGTAGAGAAAGTAGAAGTTTGATTTCTTTGTTTAAAACGATCATCTTCGAATTTCATTGTCGCTTGTTATCTTTCCCGTATCTTCTTAATTAATTATATTTCTTCTACACGTGTGTTTAAAAGGTATATCTAATTTAATAACGATGATTATGTATGATTACGTAGAATAATGTTTTTGCAAATGAACATCAACACAAAATTGAAATTATTGTAAATAATTTAATTACAGACATGTCGCCAGTTAGATGGACACGTAGAAAATCATCGAGTTCAGATTCGGAGAGGAATTGTTACAACGTTCAAACGTCTCGCGTGACGACCGAGCGTACTCCAAATAAAAAAGAAAAGAAAAAGATACAAGAGGAAAGACGAAGGATTTGCGAGAAGAGACATCCATTGTTGGACCGAGTGAAAAATACCCGATTGACGTTTTTCAAGGACAGAGATACAGACGACGAAGACGAGGAAAACGAAGATAACGAGGATATTGAGGAGGATGAAGTTGTCGTCTCTGATAGAATGCAATTTAGATCTATGTACGAGTTAAGTCAACGCGGTTTAACGAGGAACGAGTTTCGAAGATCCGTTTGCGAAAATGATTTAAAGGATATCAGCGAAGAGGAAAGGATTCGTGCTAAGAGGAAACGTAGATCTAAATCGCAAAATAGGTTGTTAACGCAAAGAAAATCTCAACATCAAGAGGATCGTTATTCCTTTTTGCAAACCTCGACACCGGAAAGTTTGAAAGATTCGGTGTTGCCTAGGGAAACTTACAACGAAACTCCTGGATCAAGATTGTCTCGATGGAGGAAGAATAAAGAAAAAGATTTAACCGAAGAGGATAGAAATCAAATAGATCCTAACCAAACGGCAAGAGAAGGTTTCGATAGCATCACCCCGTCAAGTTGTCTTGCAGCAAAGTTTCGTGCAATGCAGGACAGATATTTGAAAAGTTCAACGAGCAAACTCATTGCTAAGATTTACAAAAAGGATAATAAAGAGTGTAAGGATGGTAAGGATAAGAGAAGATTACGTAGCTTTTCTTATGGTACTTTGCCAGGTCTCGAAGAATTAAGAACGAATCCTTTGTACGAGGATCAAGATCAGGACGACAATGATTCTGGAATATTGGATAACGACTCAGCTACTAGTTCACTACTCGATGATAGATGTAGCAGTGGAGCTTCTGGTTTGATGACAAGTCAATCTAGTACCAATGATTCACCCCCAAGATTACCACCGAGAAAACCTTCGAGTTCGATCATGGACGCTGATAGAACAGCTCGGTTCTTCTCTGGTTTAGATATACACTGTGTTAGAAGTGATCCTAAAACTTGTTCTAAAGATATCTTAAATTTTGACGATTCATCCGAATTGATAGAAGAATCTAAATCAGAAAATCCTAAATCATCCGAGTTACCTGTTATCCGAAGCAAAACTTATACAACTGAAACAATGGTAGTGAAATTGTTTAGGGATACACCCGATCAATGTTTAGGCATTTTCATAGCTAAGACTGCTGAGACTAGTCCCGGATATTTAGTAGCACACGTTGTACCAAATGGATTGGCTGATAGAGAAGGAACTTTGAAGATCGGTGATGAAATTTTAATAGTCAATGGTAGAAGACTTCGTGGATTGAGTATGGCAGAAGCTAGGAAAATTTTAGGTAATGGAAGTGGTCCAGGTGAAGTTGATATTATCGTATCCAGATATTCTGGGGTTGATCATCCTAAAAGACTTAAAGAAAGTAGCGTGGATTATGAAAACGTTAGCATAGAGAATGGTCATGGTGTTATAGTCGAAGATTCGCCTAAATCACATTTTAAAAAACATCAGAGTAAACATCACAGGGATCGTAAAAATGAATCTGCAAGATCAATCCTCATCTCGGATAAATCGAATTTGTCTGCGGATAACAATGGATCCGGGAATCAATTGCAAACGCAAAGTGTATCGAATTTTTGTACATTACCTCGAAGACCAAGGAGCACTGTTTCTACGTTCTTGACAGTTTTGTTCGAAAAAGGCCCGGGAAAGAAATCCTTGGGATTTACTATTGTTGGTGGAAAGGACAGTCCTAAAGGAAGCATCGGTAAATTTTTTTTCTTTTTCTTATCTACAAAATTTATCTACGAATCTCTTATACCCTTAGAAACATGGGCAGACGAGTAGATCAGAAAACCAAACAGACAGATAAACAGAAAAAGTTTTCTACTTTGTTAGTAACATTTATAATAATTTATGTAAAATTTCAAAACATTTTCTAAGCAGATCGAATTTATCTAATAAATATTTGGAAACATAACAGGATTCTTATTTGATATCTTTTTTATTCCGTTTTTATTTTTTTTCATCTTATCCGCATGTTTTTCAATAGCAAATTTTTTCAGAAATTTATTAATTTTTCTCAAAATGACCGATCGTTTATATTGTAGTCAAATCATCTTCGATTATGAATGTTAAATAATGTAATTAAATAAGTCGTTCGTACGTACCGTTAAATTGATCGTTGCTTTTATAATAAAACAAGATGATCGTTGATTATATTTTTGTTCTAATTTCGTTTATAGGCATCTTTATAAAATCGGTCCTACCAAGTGGTCAGGCCGCTGAAGATGGTCGTTTGCGTGCAGGTGACGAGATTTTAGCTGTCAACGGTCAGGTATGTCATGACTTGACACACCGTGAAGCCGTGCAATTATTTCGCCATATCAAAAGTGGACCGGTTGCGTTACATTTGTGCAGACGTATTAAAAATCGAGAAACACAGTGAGTGATGATAAAAGTTATTATTTTTTTTATCTTCTTTCTTATTTTTTTTTGTATAATAATAACATTTTCTTACTTTGTTTTATTCGTAATTTGTTTTCTATTGATAAACAATGTTTCAGCTTTAAGGTCAAATCTTTTGCGATGGATATATACAGAGTTGTTTTTTTCTTCCTTACGTAGTCGATATAATAACAATTATTGTTAATATCATCTATTAATTAATACTAATAATAAAAATAATAATAATAATAATAAAAAGTAATAATAATATAATCACTTTCGATTACATTGATTTTCTACAAATTTCAAAGTTTCTTTTTTCCTACTCTATCAATAATTTTTTCTTATTAAATCTACGCTCTTTTTTTATTTATTTTTTCTTAATCCTCACGTATACAGGTTTATATACATGTATATATATTATATCTACATATAATATATTTATAATTTATTATAACTATATTACCGGAAAAGTGGAAAATTCGGCATTGTTAGCAATTCCTAGGCCTTGCCCACAATACATGGTGTTTTTAGGCAATGTAGGAAACAGAAGAATTGTTACGTCCTTATCGGGCAACAGACACATAACACACACCCTGCCCCCAACACACACATAAAAGCGAGCATGGAGCGGGTTTTAGTGCGCGGGTTTTTGAGACAGTGCGCTATACTGTATTATGTATGCCAGATAAGATAACGATTCTTTTGTTTCCTTCGTTGCCTAAAAACGCCATGTATTGTGGGCAATGCCTAGGAATTGCTAACAATGCCTGCATTTCTCACTTTTTCGGTGACATATATATATATATATATATGTATATATATCATGTAAGATACAATATTTTTTATATATATATATATAAATGTATATGTCACGTTTATGCATACTACGAAACGTAAAGTTGTATTTAACTATTTTCTTGTAATTTGTATTATACGATACATTGTTTATTTTAATTAATTAATTTTATTTATATTATATTTGTTTTATAGATTAATAATAAATTTTTTAATTTATCACCTTCATGTTACAGAGCAACAAAGGCCAAATCATGCGCAGATCTTCTTCTCGTCGATACGTGAGGACAACTACGTGATAAGCTTTTTATTTATTTATCGATAAAGAAGAATAAAGATACACATATACATATAGAAAGAAAAAGAGAGAGATGAAGAAAGAGAGAAAGAAATATTACGAAGAAACAATGCAATTTGTACATAAATACACGTTACAGATCTTGCTTGTTATGTATATGTATATGTATATTTATATTATATATATATATATGTGTGTATGTGTGTGTGTTGTAAATTTGTGTAAAGATCAATATGGAAGTAAATTTATTATTTAATAATAATAATAATAGTAATAATATCCTCGCAAAAAGAGAAAAAAAAGACAGAAAGGGAGAGAGAGAGAGATGGTGTGTAACAATTAATTTATAATATATATATAAATATCATTATTATATTATTACCTGCCACTCCCCCTCTAAGAAAAGTTACATCGTCAAGCACCTTAAAAATACGTCCTTATTTTAATTTCTTCCTCTATTTTTTCTTTCTTGTATCGTCCTTTATAATGAAATGTAATTGAATTAAATTAAAATTTGATCTTCGATTTAAAGAAAAAAAATGTCGTTCAAATATTTCGATAAGTCGTTTTACATGACGCGTTGAATAATAAAAATAAAATATAATAATAATAATAGTTTACAAAGTATATAATAATGCCTATCATCATTATAATAACAATACTACCAATTGCTATCGTCATTATGATTAGAATAATAATAGAAATAATATTAAAATATTCATTGCTATAGTCATTATGGTCAACGACATAATAATAATACGCAAATAAAATTTTTCTTTTCGATTTGCCAATAGGGGCAACTCTGACGATAAATAAATTAATCTAAATGATCATATTTTTTCTACATATATAAATATATTGTTAGATGTAGAATATATGTAGAAAAAATTCGATGATACTTTTTCCGTGCTTTTACTACTTATGCTTCTGTGTGTGTTGTTTTTTGTTTTGTTTTTAACCCCCTTTCTCTCATTTCTTTTCGTGTGTTTCTTTTTTTGTTCGTGAAAGACTAGAATCCTAAAATATTCTTAAAGTTCGTTGCATGTCACAGGGGTTTTTTTTATTTCGCTTAGAATTTAAAATTTGAAAGAGCACTTCCGGTGGGCAGTTTTGTCATTGTGCTGTTAGCCTCCTTTGTTTTTTTTTGTTTATTTGTTTCTAGTACGGGGTTGATTTTAAGGTGCTTTTAGGATACCTAAAAATAATAAAAAGAAACGTTATTAGTACAAAATGAAGATTAATATAAAACAAAAAAAATTAATAAAAAATAAGATTATTGGAAAACATCAAAAATTGATTGGATTTATTTTTGTTACCTATATAATTCTTACCAAAAGATATTATTTCATCGTATTATTATTTTACCTGTGTCGTCTTGTAATTTCTAACTCGACCGGACCTTCCCTAACCGCTTTAAACAATTCGATGACTTCCTGATGCGTGTGTCCTTTCAAAATCTTCCCATTCAAACTGACGATTTCGTCGCCTAAGAAACACGATATCAAAAATGTCATTAATTCTTAAATAAATAAATGATATAAAATAAAAGTAAGAGAGAAAAAAAATTCGAAAGATTTTAACCGTTAGATTAATTGTTAGCAATCAACGTTTAATTACCTAGTGAAAAGCTTTCTCTCGTTCTCCTTATGTTAGAAAGAACAAAGATAAAAAAAAAAACCGTGTTTAATAGCAATCACCGTAATTATCTCGGTCATAAAATAATGTGAAAAACATATAAGCACTATAAAGATTAAATGAAATAGATCGAGATCATATATCTATAATCTATTTCTAAATGTTAAAATATACATTCAACGTAGATCAGATCATATTTAAACTCTTGTGAGTAATAAGAAAGAAAGAAAAATAAAGAAAAAAAAAAAAAGAAAAATTATTTTCTATGGATGTTTCTTTTTCTAAGAAGAATAAACCATTGCGGTGTAATTTTATGTAACCACCTGTCTTTCAGACCACGAAGAGAGTAGTATATTGAACGTATTGCTTGGTAGTATTATAAGATAGATAGAAAGAGAGCGAAAGATAGAAAGAGGTGGGGCAGAAGGAGAGAAAGAAAAACAGAACCCCTTTACTTATGCAACCGAGTCGACCACGGAACCGTTATACAAGCATACGCTAAGGGGAGGTGGGGGCCGAAAGCAGAGGGTTTTTAGAAAGAAAAAGCAAGAGGAAACCACCATGGCAGTGGTTTGCTCGTAAAAGATCAACCAACCAACAACGTAAGGAAAAGGATATCGGTTGAAACTCGAAACGTATTGCGTGAAGCCTAGCTACTACCTAACATCTACACCTAACGTCTTTTCCTACCGTCTTCCACCTTCTTCTTCTAGTTAAGTTACACAAAAATTTGATTTTACTCTTTTGCTCGAGGAAATACTAGCTTGTTAAGAATTAGATACTATAGAAAGATAGACAGATAAAAAGAGGGAAAGAAAGGAAGGGAGAGAGAGAGAGATAGACTAAGTTACTTGCAAGTATACTAAGAGATAGTCTTCCCGCGATTAGGATTAATCACATTGGTACATTTTCTATTGAATATGTCTGACACGTTAATCGTAACTAATTGCTTACGGAAGCATTAACTACTTTTTATATAGCCATTTACTTTACGACTCTCTAACGAGCCTGATCTAGGCTGGAATTATGACGCTCGGTATAATTCTTTGAACTATGAAGTCCCTGTGGGGAATCGTTAAAATCTTCGAGGAAAATAAATCAAACGATTGAAAATTCTAGCTTGATCTTTTTCTTCAAGAGTTGCACGTCGTCGTTGCAAGAGTCAACGGAAGAAATGAGATAGAGAGATAAAGAAAAAGAAAGAAAGGTTACTGTTTAAAGATTCACAAGACGTCAGGTGTCGGATTAAAGATTCGACGTGTGTCCGGACTCGTCGTTCCTTCGAATACTCATCGAAGGAAAAAAGTACGTGCTAGTCAATACGAAAGGTTCAGTTATTTATCTGTGTGTGTGTGTGTGTGTGTGTGTGTAAAAATGCGAGTATGCGTATGTATACCTTGAAACAACGACTTGGATACGTCGGCTTGTCCACCTGGAAAGACACGTCTGACGAAAATGCCCATTTCACCCCTCGGACTGTCTCTCCCACCGACAACGCTAAATCCTAAACTGGGCTTTCCATAACCTTTTTCAAACTTGGCTACATGTTTCGTCAGATAGTGTTGGGATTCGGTGTTAGCCTCGAAACCATTCTCCGAGTCCTTTCGATGATTCTTCGACAGGCAGGAGAGCGGTAAAAAGTCAGGTCGTTTTCCGCTGGATCGTGTAACGTCATCATTGACCTTACTATCCTTTGTTAAATTTTCCTTCGATTTGTCGTCGATCAACGACATGTTAGAAAGATTTTTCGCATTTTCTAAATACTCGTATTCCCCAGGTAGAGCATTTGACGAAGAAGAGGAAGATGAGGTTGGTGTTGGTGGCGCGACGTAAACCTGAGGCACCGTTTCCTCGTAAGATGTCATCAATCTTATCTTATTTCCTGTAAACGATCTAAGAAACTCTTGGACCTCTTCGAGACTCTCTAGAGTTCGTAATTCTTTTCCTTCTACTTCGACTATCTCGTCGCCGAGTCTTAGCCTACCGTCCCTACAATAAAAGATAATATAACGATTAAATGAGATGAGAAACGAGATGATGGATGATCGATAATATAAATCGATAAGAGAAAGAGATAAATGACCAATCGATATTACCTATGAGCTATTCCATCGCTTTCTAACTGCACGACGATATAACGGATCTCTCCTAGTCGTTGCTGTGCCAATCTTATGCCTAAACTCTCTTTAGGATCTCTCTTATGAAGTTGAACTATACGACAACGTCTAATCCTCTTTGGTGGTTGTATGATATCGCTGAGGAAACGGGTCTTATCTTGTTGCAATCTTATCCGATGTGGTGACACATCGATCGATTTCGTTACGTTGGTATTACCCAGTCCACTTGAATTATCCGTACAAATAGGAAAATGTGAATTGGCATCGTCGAACGAAGTTTGATGAATACTCGGTAACAATCTTCCTGAGGTACTCTGATGCCATCTCAAACCGTCAATAACGTCCCCAATTTCTGACGAATCAATCCTCGTCTCATTGTTCGTACCCTTCCTTAATTCTTTTTCTTCTTGATCCTGACACTCGCTAGGTGTTGAACTTCTCATTGGTTTCTCCAATTCGGAATCAATGACGCTACTGGTATCCGAACTATCTGTGCACTTCAAACTCAAAGCTTCGTTTTCCGATGCAGCTGCCGATTCACCCCTAGGACCGTCGCTGTCGTAACCAGATTCGTTCGAACTTACGTAATGAGAGGATAACCTTTGTTCACCACTCGGTGCAGAATTTCTACGATCGTTTCTCAAAGTAGCTTTAACATCGAGCTCTACGTTCAACGAAGATGTTTCCGAAAATCTAGATTCCACTGTCTTGACGTCCAATCTATCATGATTGATCTCAGTTTGTTGATAAACAGATGGATTTCGTCGTACTAGTGACGTTAGATTAACATTATCATACGCATTGTAACGCGCTGAATCTTCCGAATGAAACGTGTCCTCGATACGCTCGAGCTCGCTTGGATTCAGACTATACCTTTCAGATTTTTTTCTAAACTCAACGTAAGAATTTCTGCCAGTTTTAACGTTTTCCTGATATCTAGGAACGTTACAACGACTCAAATTACTATTTCTAGATCGCTTACGTCCCAACGTTGTCGTACCGACATAAGAATCTTCGATTTTCAACGCCGGAAAATGTTCCTCCGATGCTGTTTTGAACAATCTCTCGTCTTTTGATACAAACGATCCATGACGTTCCTCCGGTAACACGGATAACTTCGATCTTAAAAATGCATAAGGAAAATTTGATTTCTTAGCTTCTTTGAAATCGCAACTACTACTTTTTCTCATTGCCGATTCCATTCTAGATCGGCCAAAATCGCAAGGTTTGAAGTTTCTAGTTGACGGGCTTCCGGATGGACTAGCCGATAAGCTGCCAGTTGGACTAGTAGAAAGACTTCCTGATTGACAAATGGACGGTGATACGTTGTCAATTGGATCGTCGAAAACGTCGTCGTTTCGTCGACCAGCTAAATCATCGCAGGACACCGTTTTATCCTTTCGTGCTGAAATTCTTAAATCGATTCCTTCAGATGGATCATCTCCTTTCACGTAAGTCGGACTAGTATTCAATTGACTCGTACTACAACTTCTAAAAAGATTTTCTTTCTCCGATGTTTTAGATCCAATTTCGACGTTTTGCGAACGTCTGTTCATTCTCGTTGAATTTAACATCCCGGTCGAACCCATTCGAATAAAAAATGATTTAAATGGCGACGGTGATCTTTGAGAATTTCCTGCCAACCTTTTTGGATCCAACTTTGGATCTGTTTTTTGTGATAACGTTGTCTTATTCCCTGCAGGATTTAAACTAGCATTGTTGTTATTGTTGTTACTGGATTCGTTGTTGTTGTTGTTGTTACTATTTGCATCGGATCTTTCTAAAGAACAAATAGTTTCACGGGAACCAGCCCTACGAAAGGAATCTATCTTTTTGCTCATCCTCCGGCCCCAGACTCCTAAACTTGACCCTGGAAATAATAAAAAAAAAAGAATTCATAGTTAATGAATGGATAATATATTTATTGTTAAATGTATTCATATTTTTTTTATATAGAAATAAATGATATATTCGAGTAGTATATGGTTGAAGACAGTAATGTGTATAAGTTAAATTTGATTAACGTCATGAAAGGAGAAGGAAGTTAAAGGAAAGAGACTTGAATGGCATTGGACCACCTTCGTACGACGAAAAACCACCCGGTATTTGAGTTCACGCTCGACATATGGTCGTCCCCTTCAGGAAATACCATTGAATGCAACAAACGAGTCGTGCATTTTCAGGTTTAAGATTTATTAACTCAATTCTCTAATAGATTTTTACCGAATATTATTGTGTATAAGTAATAGCGTAAATTTGTATCAATCTAACTCGAAGATGTAAAAGATGTACAAGAGTATTACATATATGTATTTATGTATTATTCGTGAACATGTTCATACATGAAGAGTGTATAGTAAACGTTATACCATTCAATCCTTTATTGCACCAGCATACGTACGCATGTAAATGCGGTTCATTAAAGGCAAGTATTTCCTGAAGAAATGATGCATTGTATTGCAACAACATATGGTGTCTTGCCCTACCCTGGCTTAACCATGATCATCAGAGATGCACTTTGCGATCCTGACATCGGTCAATGTCGTGATCTAACGTTCTGATCAAAACTAATCCTTAAATGGCAATAATAAAATTTATACCTGCATACCCAACAGCAATATTCGTTACCAAAATTCTAACACTAATATAAAACAAAATATATAGTCAACAATAATAATTATAATAAAAAAATAATGAAGTGTTGTTAAATAAATATTTTTATTATAAATTTTATTTAAAATAAATAAATCAATATAATAATTAAATCGTAACGGTTAAATCTCCAATTAAAATTACATCCATCCCTTAGGATTAAATAATAGGTATACCATATAAACCTCCCCCCCAATCTCTCTCTCAAAAAAAAAAAAGATAAAATAAAATATTTGAAAAAAGGAGAGGAGAACGATTTGAAATGAAAACCGAAGAGTGGTGAAAATTCCCGTTTAGGTGATGTTAAAGAAAAATAAAAGAGGGAGTGGGAGGAAGGAGGTGGAGAGGTCGATGGATACCGGGACAGCAACGGGCCACCTCAACGGACGAAAAACCACCCGGCATCCGCATTCGAGCTCGACATATGGTCGCCCCCAGAATAAGAAAAAGATAAAAAGATAGAAAGGGAGAAAGAGAGAGAGAGAGAGAGAGAGATGGAAGAAGTTGAACGAGAATCGGAGCCAAGTCCATCGTCGAAAGGACGGCTGCTGGTTCCGCGTATTTTGCGACTACTTTTTCGAGGTGTCAGCCCGGTTAACGGGGCCGTGCTACCATCGAGCCATTCGATCCTCTACGAACAGCCAAGACGATTGTCAGGCTGCTCAGGTATCGGGTACACGTGTTTTGCGATAACGCACGCCGCGGTACACGAAGAGAAACGGTCTGTTGACTCGAAACGCGTTATAGCCTCGTTAACGGCCAGACACGTACATACATATGTATAAATTTATATGTCTATGTGTGTATATGATACCCACCCTTACCAATACTGCACTCCTAAATACTCTCTTTTTTCATCTTTACGTCAATTTTATTCTAATTATTATTTGACGTAAGAGGAAGTTTTAATTGTTGGTCATGTTTTTGGTTTTAGTGAATTAGTCTGATATGTTTTATGCGTATGCAATAGGTGCCTTTACTAACGTTGCATCGTTCAATTATGCTTTAGATATTTGTGTCAATTTAATTTAATTTTATATTGCAGAGAGGAAGTTTAATCGTTGGTTATCTTTTAGATTTTTATAAAGTTCGTTGAATTTGGATTTTAGTGAATTAGTTGAGGCGTAGTTTAATTGTTTGACTGATTGATTGATTAAGTGAGTGATCAAAGTACTTTGATTATTTAAATGATCAATTTAAATAATTTTATTTGGTTATTATTATTATGGTTACAAAATAATACTTGTTGTTAAATAATTCAATTTCTATTCCATCACATTTTTGAATCACTTATCACACTATTGTCCTAGTCCACAAAGGTGAGAACAAATAGAATAGTAACGACTTGACTCGATGCTCGCAAGGAACTGTTTTCAACGAGAACAACCTAACAGAGGAAGCAACGCGTTATAATCCGCAATGTAATTCCGAAAGGAAGTGTCCGTGACCGTGTCGCAACTGTGCTTGTTTCCGAATCGACTCCTGTTGGTGTGAAAAACCTTTTTGCAAACAAATTCGATCTACCGAAAATTTATTCACTCAAAATTCATTGTTTAAATATTACATTTCTTTTCTTAAAATATTTGTGCATAACATTTCAATTTTTCGTTTATATTAATACGAATATTCATAATTATTATCTTTGACGATTGTAAAATATTTAGATGAAGGTGAAATATTTCAACGATTTAATTATAATATTATTTTTATAATTTTTGTCGGCACAAAAACTAATAATGCAAACATTTATTCGCATTTAAAGTAGAGCCAAGTCAAGTTGACTACTTTCTACCAGTACTATTGTTGTACACCTTTCCGCAGAAAAGTAACGGCAATGCGGTTAGAGATGCGGATAGCATGAAACACGATGATAACTATCATAAGAAGTACAATACTGTACTGTATATACGTTTAGTAGTTTGTAACGTAATAACATACACAAATTAATATCTAAAATTTTTCGAATTTTTGTACGAAAATCACTTTCAATTTTTTTCTTTCTCTACAATTTCTTTAGAATTTAAAAAAAAAAAGAAACACGCATATACCTGTGTGTGGGAGTACGCGTGTGTGTGTTAAGTATGTGAGTTTCTTGTTCTAACGAGGCACGAGTCAAGAAACAAGCAGACGGTTGATTAGTGAAAGGATGCGATATTTCGAGATTAGCAAGTGTTCGAACCTAAGTGCTGATCGTTCTTTTTTAAAAATAGCATTAAAAAGACAAAGAAGAAAATCTCAAAGAATATTTGACCTATATAGGTCAACAAGTCGAATCTGATGATTTTAACATGACAGAGTACAAGGAAATCACCGGACCATAATATATGTCGTAGTTCCAAGTAATTAGACTCGCTAACATTTTTCTTTCTTTCTTCAAAGAAAAAAAAACTTTGTACGATTTCCCGTTTGAAAAATATTTTTTGCATTCCTAATAAGCTGAATATTTAATTTAAAAAAATTTACATGTATATATTGAATGCAAAAAAATTATTTATGATTAATTTATTAAATAATTAAAAATAATTTTTCAACGCAAACAATAATTAATGTGATCAACATTAAAATATCAAATAAAAATATTATTTTATATATGTAATAATACATTAAAAACTAATTATTCATATCTAAATAATAAAAATAAAATTAAATACAATTAAATCCTTAAGAAAGTCGACTTGTAGAAATAATCAAACGACAAATGGTAGGAAAAAAAATGTCCACGAAAATAATCCAGATCTCAAGTTCCATCCTTTTTAAGACCTCCTCCTCCTTTTCCTCTTCCATTTCCTCTTTAAAAAGAATTAACGATCGTTATACGAAATAATCGTCAGTTCGCGAACTCCGCGAGTTTGAAGTTGGATAAAGGAATGCATGGTATTTAAGTGTAAAAATCAATTTCGTCTTTTCAGTCCCTTTTTCTCTTTTATTCTTTTTCTTCACTATACAGGGGCGTCGTGTGTTGCTTGTGGTGTCCTGGTTCGTCGGGCAAGTTCGGTTCGTCGAACGTGCAGTACATTAACGATTTATCGATTTAGTAAACGACGAACTTTTCACTCCTCTCTCAAAAAACATAGGGGTACAGCATACGTACTTACGTATATGTGTAACCGTAAACTCAACAGAAAGAGAAACAGAAAGAAAAAGAAAAAGGAGAAAGAGAAGACTATACTGTTGCTGTTAACTGTACTCTTTACAAGCCCGTTATCGTCGATCACTATACAAATCGAAAATAGTGATGAATATATTAGCGATAACGATCCCTTTTTTATTTTATGCTTTTTTTCATCTTAATAATCGCACGTCGTATCATATTAAATACATACTATTACAACTACTACTACTACTGATTCTGCTGTTACTACTTATCAATTAAGGATGAAAAACAGGAATAATTATCAACGTAATAATGAGACGAATCACGTTTTTCTTCCAACTATAACGCGATACACTATAGTTAGTTAGTTAACTTCGATTATTATTACTAAAGAAAATATATGAAATTTAAAGAAATAAACTGACGGATATAAAATACGGAAAAAATGACGGAATAAATTATTGACTAATTTTAAAATGTGATTTTAACTTGACGTTTATTCATACACGCGATAGGATATAAATACTTTTCCTTACAAATGATCAAGCCATATTACCTACTAACAAGGAAGACAGTAATTAACTACTTCGAATTTCATTGGTTGGTATTAAACGTCAATTATCGATGCGCGCTGACCCATTTCTTTAACGGTAAAAGCTAGACGGGAAAGTTACGTATCAGCGATTTCGACTGAAAATTTCTATCGAAATTATTTTCAACGGTTTACGATTAGAAATTTTGTTTGATTGTTGGTTTTTAATAAAAGAGAAGTTTTTTTCTTTTTCATTTGTTAGGATCAGTTAATTATTCCTACATGTAATTTTATTCTGAAAAAAAAACAAACCGAAGAGATTTGTTGTATTTATTATTATTTTATTTTCCGAATGAACATGTGTCAATTAAAACGTACGTATTCTAATAATTAAATTAATTATTATTAGTATATAAAAAAAAATTATAAATTTATTTCACATATATATATTTAGTTAATATATAATAATATATTTTATTCTCTCTCTTTTGAATTATGAATGAGATAAATTGTTATATTACGTGTCACAGAAATTTGTTACACTAATAATTTATTTGTTTCTGAACGATTTAAATAAAAATAATTTAACTTATATGAACTACTTGAATGAACATGTACCCTATGATATATAAACTTTCTAATAATTAATTCAATTACTATTATTATTTATACGATTATTTCTTTTTTCCATTATTATTATTACCCATTTATATTTGTCAATATTATTTAGTAGTGTAAGGATTTTGTTGTTGAACGATTGTACACAGAATGGATTCCGTAAATTTGTAAAAGAGAGGAATAATAAAGATAATATTATTTAATTATTTAATTAATATATTATTTAAATTCATTCTTTAAAAAAAGAAAATGGTGTATGAAAGATTGAACGAGATAATGTGTCGTGAGTAAAAGTATAGGAAAAAAGTAACGTATGAAAGTCTATACGAGAATAAAGCACGCGATTAGAAAGAGTAACTATGATATAAAATAAGAATAAAAATAATAAGATGAATAAAAATAAGAAGAGAGGAATAAGAACGAGTCTAACGAGGTGTGACACTTCTCTTCTCGTGATGCGACAGGAGGACATATCGTGACGACATAATCGTGTGACTAATTGAAGACCGGTCTTAAAGTGCGTCTTTCGAATATCTTCAAAAAGAATTAATTAACGGCCCTGGTAGGTTCCCCGAGGTCGTTCTCCATGCCGGTTTTCTAAAGCCTTTAATAAGGTTGCCCTTTCTTCAGGGGGGCAGGGAGGAGGGTAGGGGAGAAGCACAAAAAATAAAGAAACGAAATGAAGTAAAAAAAGAAATAAAATAAAAAAAAAGAAATATTGAAGCATGCTGTGCAGGTGCAAACTACGACATCTAAAACGTATTTTATTCTTTTTCTTCTTCTTCTTCTCTGTTTTATTCGTCTCACCTATTTCGTATATTCAATTGATTTCTTGTTTCATATATATAGTTTGGATTTGAATTGAAATTAAATTCACGAAGATTCGTATATTTGTTAATTCGATGATGTTAGATATTATCGGAAGTAAAATAATGATTTGTGAAAGTTCAAAGGAAACGTTTTGTCTACCCGCTGCACGATCTTTGATGAAGATAATAAGAATAATTAAAAGACATGTGCTTGAGGAAAGACATAACCCTTTGGTACAGGTGGCTAACCGCGCGTTTATTTTCACCTCGCAATACCTAAATGTTCATGACTGTTCGAAGGAGGGAGAGCGGAACGAGGGAGTCGCATGCAAAAATATCTTACGAAATTTCAGTAAGAGCAAAATTGAAATGAAAATAATAAATTTCTTTGTAAAAAATAAAAAACTACAGTATTCTATTTCCGTAAGTAAACAAAAAAAAATTATTAACAAATTAAACCTTGTCAATTTGAAAAAATTTCGTTCAAATTCACGTTGGATCGTCAATAATTTGAAATTATGTTTTGTTTGCAATTTTTATCGAGGTGCATAAAAATAGAAATAAAAATAAAAGGAAATATGCGTAGAGAATCTTTTCTTTTTTCTTTCTCTTTTCTTTTATTTTTTTTCTTCATTCGTGGTTTTCCATCGTTGCTCTTAATCTCGTGTTATAGTGATCGAAGAAGCGGAACCAGTGGTCGTAGATAAGAATGCGGCGCATATAGGCGTCTTGTATCACGATGCAACGGTTGCGCAATTTGTGAATTATCATGGCGTAACCGCACGATGGAAGGTGGAACGTTCAAGGTTCGTCGAGTAGTAACTCGTACGTTCGAACTTATATGCTGTCTATGTATGGAACTCTATGTATGTATTATGAATGACCAATCGAATTTATTACCTACTTAAATTGTTAGAAAAAAATAAAAAAAAAAATAAAAAAAATAAAAGAGAAAAAGAAAAAAGCAAATTCCCATAAAA